ATTTTGTTGTTGTTTTTATGTAAATTAAAAAAAAAACATATTTATAAAAATCTAAATTTAAAAAAAATAATTTTTTTATGTATATTTAGCTATTAAATAAATAATTTTATTTATTTTTTAAAATGAATTTTTATAACACGAATCTGTAGGGTCATTTTGCTCGGGCCTAACGTCTACAAAGGCCTCAAAAATCATTTATTTCATTGCATTTTTCTTATATTAAGAGAAAACCCTTTATTTTTGTTAAATTTTATTATTTAAAAATTACAATACAATTCTATAGCTGTATGTTTTTTTAACATATCGAGGCTAGGGCCTCAGTTAAAGTGAGAAAGATTTGGGCCTCGTTCAAAGTCTAAGAGGCTCTGTATAGATCGATATAACCCTACTTATATAGATAAGCCTACATACCTGTAAATAAAATTACAAATATATAATTACCTGTCAATACAAATATAAACTTTATAAATACATTATTAAAATATAATTTACTCATATGCTTATATATATATTCGTATATAGAAATTTATACGTAGAAGACATACCGAAGCCAGATTAATACACGAGACTATATCATATAAAAGGCCCTTCCTCCACCAAATAATAAACATCTGTAGATTTTAAAATTTAACTAGTTTAGTTTGTATGTATGTAAGGCCCACGGGTATACCGTTAAATAATATTTTTAACAGTATATATATATAAATTTATTAGATTTTTATCAGATACCATCGAAGAGTAAGCGAATGAATCAATCCAAGCAAGTCGTAAACTCAGCACCACTTAATTGTAGTCTCACACAAGCTATAAACTCGACCAAGGAGGAGGGAAAAAATCTTTTTTTAGTTATAAACTTCTTTTAATCATCATAAAACAAATTTAATATAAATCTGGAAGTTTAGTCAAATCAATTACGAGTACAAAGTGGATGAATCGGAGATCATAGGCGGCGCCTCGATTGACTAAACACACGTACACCACCCTCGCTACAACATTGTCCAAGTCGTGCTATTGCGGGGTGTGTTTAGTCGAAGACGAAGACAGAACATCACAAGAGTGTGTGAAATGTCTCCTCGTACAGATGTACGCATTTTGAACAAAAAGAAAAATGGATAGTAGCCATAGACACCAAGAGACAGCATTCACTTTCACGTGTCTACTGATCGGAAACACGGTACTGTTTACAAGTGCAGCTACCATTTGTTTATCGTTATCGTTACTTACTAACTATTGGGAACATGTTACATTTGATATTAGTAAAGTACAGAAAGTAGCAGATATTAATAACCATAGTATAATTTGGACAGATAACAGAATAGCACGTATAAACGTAATCAATCCAAATAAAGGTATGGAAGGTGCAAACGTACTTAGTAACCTTAGCCATACAGGTGTGTTATATTTGGTTTCTCTTCATGGCGGAGTTCATTCTTTATGCCCCGATGTCACAGGTAAGAATTTTAAAATTAAGCTTTAATTAATTCAGTACTAAAATTAATTATATTTATTGTACTTTAGAGAATATACTACTGATTTTTTATTATTATTTTTGTTTCGATTATTTATGTGAAGGGAAAAGAGGTCGACATCGATATAAGAAAATGTTAAATTTTTAAAATAGGGCGAGGATTTGTTTTGTTTATAACGTAAAATAATATACCGAACGATTTCTTTTTTTATAATATCAAAGGTTAAGAGCCTTGGTGTATTTTTATAGAGTTAGATTTATGCTTGAAAAATATCGAAAAAATGAAAATATCTTCCTTAAAAAAGAGGAAAAAATATTTATAATATAATCTTAGACATTTCTAAATATATTTTTAAAAATTTGACGTAGTTTTTAAGTTTTAAAGTTAATTTTTTTATGAATGAAACTTTAAAATTTAACGTCATTATTTAACAACGTAATTTATATAACTTTAAAATATATTTTATTTATTTATAGAAACGGTAAAAGTTTATAATTATTTTTAAAATAACTAACTTTAAAACATAAAACATTTATAATAAAAACCGATTTTACAAACCATAAAATTGTTTATATACATTAATAGTTTGTTTACATAAAGCAAATTGATTTTGTTATCATTCCCAGTTTAGAAAATATTTATTTATTTTTTTAAATAGGAAAAAAAATTATCTTAGCAATAAAGGAAATTCCTTATCCTTAAATATTCGTGATAATTTTTTAAAAATATATATATTTATATTTATTTAAATATTTTCCAAGTAATTTATAAAAATATAACACGCATTTTAAGTCATTTTAATGATCTTTTTATCGTATTAATTTCATTAGTTAATTAAATTTTTAAATTAAATTGTTATTTTTTTAAATTATAAACTTAAATTTTTTGATTTTAAAAATCAAATGTCGTTAATGAAGTCGAAATTAAAGAAAAAAAAAGAAATGTTTTCTAGTTTTTCTATAATTCTTTGTAGCCATAAACGTTTCTTTCTCCTGGAAATAAAATGGAATAAAATAAAAAGAAACAAATATAAAAATCCTTTTAAGAAATTAGACGATTTTTGATGAATTTCTTTTATAAAATATAAATGAATTTTAAAGATAATCATCTTTATTCTTCAATAAATCTTAAATGATAATGATAATTCCTTTATAACGAAATAATTGTTAGTAATTTTTATTTAAAATTTAATCTAGAAAAATTATTTAATCATTTTTTAAGTAATTGTTCGAAATTTAAATTTTTAATGTATTTTTTTATGTAAGATGCTCTTCTTCTCTGTAATATTCTTCCTCTGTAAGGAAAGAATTTTATAGAAAATTACAGGTTTTTAAAACAGTATATGCTTTAAAATACGTATAAAATTCCTATATTTTAATAATATTATTATTTCTTTTAGTAAAAATTCAAATATCTCTCACTACTCTTGCTTTAGTACATGTGAAGGATTATCTTAACGTGGAAAGTATATTACACCAGGCATAAAATATAAGCTTGTATAGTTTATAAATTGATGATATTAATCAATTTTAAAAACAATAACGGTCATAAAACAACATTTTTATTTTAAAAAATGCGTATTTATAGCTAAATTTTTAATAAGAACATCAATAAAAATGATATAATTTTACTACACGAATTTACTACATAAATGTGCTATGATATAAAATAAATTATAATACTGTAAATTTTATAATTTTTATATTTTAAAACGATATTTTAATTATTTTATTTTATATTTAAAAAATATATAGGAAGATATTAGTTACTGATACAGTCAAATTAATGTTATTCTATAGGCTTGAATTATATGTTATAACATTATTAAGAAATCTATTTAGTTATAATTTATTACCTAAATTTTATTTTTAAGTCTGAAATAAGCTTTATTTTTATTTTTTAAAAATTAATTTTAAAACGTTTGTTTATTTAATTAATTATTTATGTTAAATAATTTTTTCCTTTCAAAATAACAAGTTTAAAAATTTATTTAATTATTTTATAAACTGCACGAGAAAATTTGCATATAACTTAATTAAATTAAACGTTATTAATAAATTAAAAAGTCGTATTTATAAATAAATAATGTTTTATTTTTTTAATTCTAAAAATTGAAATTTGTTTTTTAAAAATTTTTAAATAAATAAAACATTTAAATTACTCATAAAAATAGCAATTATATTGATGATTTATCCTTATTTTCTCTTTATTGATACACTCGATTTGTTAATTTAATATTAAATTATACATAAAATATTACATTTATAATATATTTTAAATGATAAAATATTTATTCCAATCTAAGAAGAAAGTTTTTTAGTATTTTACGTGACAATTTTTGTATATTGCACATCACTATTGACAGTTGCCAAATTCTCACTACTTTAATGTTAGATAATTTGTTAGGATTTGGATTTTTCCATTTCTTTTTAAGCTCAAGAATAGGTATTTTTTATGGAAGAAATGGAAATTCTTTTCTATATATTCTGGCAATAAAAAAGTATTAAAAATATGTGATTGTTTTGCATACTTTTCTGAAGCATTTTAATGATAAAAGGAGCATTTTGTTGGTTTACACTCTCGTGTTTGAGGTATAATTTACTAATTTAGGATGAAAACTCCAAATTTCTAAAATAATTTTGTAGGGCCAACGAATATTTTTACTATGAATACAATTTAAAAATTACTTTATAAAATAAAGAACTCGTATAGAGAATATACCAAAAAAAATAAATATTTTAATATAAAATACTTGCAATCATTTTAACTAATTATTAAAGTAATTTATTATAATTAAAATTGTAAATTAAAGTAATAAACTTTTTTATTAATTACAATATTAGCCATTAACACAGTGAGGTAAGAGAAAAGAAAAATATTGTACAACTTACACAATTTCATTTACTATATTTAATTAAGATAAAGAAGAAGTAACTCTATTAAGAGTGATGGAAAAATATAAAAAAAAATATATAGAACTACTGACNAATAAATATTTTAATATAAAATACTTGCAATCATTTTAACTAATTATTAAAGTAATTTATTATAATTAAAATTGTAAATTAAAGTAATAAACTTTTTTATTAATTACAATATTAGCCATTAACACAGTGAGGTAAGAGAAAAGAAAAATATTGTACAACTTACACAATTTCATTTACTATATTTAATTAAGATAAAGAAGAAGTAACTCTATTAAGAGTGATGGAAAAATATAAAAAAAAATATATATATATATATATATTAAATAAGATGTCAAACAGGAAAATCGTGATCAGGAAACTAGATTGGAATATATGGAGTTATATTTATATTGATCATAAATAGGATTTACTTGCCATCAAGCAATTGATGCTTTAGATCATATCTTGGAGAAGGGTGTAAAATTAATTTAGTAATTTCTTTAATTAGAAAATAAAATAAAGTAAAAAATTAAGATTATTATTTATAAAAAGTTTATTAAAAAATTATTTGAATATTTTTACAATATTTAATCAGTAAATTAGACAGGAATAAAGATAAATTACAGGGATTATTTAATGTGGCATCGCCATAATGTCGGGTTGCAAGTTTTAATTCAAAAAATCACGTAACTTCCGGCCTAGACCGGAAGTTCTTATGGAGTTAATCGGGGTCTTCGGCACCTAATCTTTATATATTCAGTCTCGATTTTAATCTAACTCCGTTCTGGAAATTAACGAAGGACGTAATGACAGACGAACAGACGACAGTTGGAACGTATAAGTCTGTAACATAAAAATTGCAGCCCAACAATGTATTTTCATTTTACGAATTTAGGGGAACTGCCATAAAATTATAAGTACTGTATTTTGAATAAGGCGACAATTTATTCTTTACAGTGGTTAACTGTTTATTAGGCCACCTTGTACACGAATTTAATTAAAAAATAATAATAAATTAAATTATTCATTAATTGTATGGATAATTCCATTTTTTACATTATTAATACTTAAATAATTTATAAAAAATTTGTTTTAATAAATGTATTTAAAGAAAATCCTTTTTCTTTATTATAAATGCAAATCAACTTTCTAATCAATAATTTATTCATTTAGCACGCAATACAGGAGAAAATCTAAATGATTAAATAGTAAAATTTATGTTCTTTACGTAAATATAATTTAAATTAATATTTTAATTTTTTTCCTTCTTTATAATTTATAACATTTATCAACTCAAAATAATATTTATTTGATGAATTTTTAATCAATAATAAACTGATGGATAATTAACAATTTATATTTTAGATTATGATAAATTAACTAATTAATTATTTATAAACGTAAAAAAATCACTGAGAAATTACATTAAATATGCGGAATTTTAATGATTTAATTTCGAAGTTTTATCTTAAACATTAATTAAAATCATAAAATATATTTTAACGTCTTTCTTTCGAAGGAAAAGTTGAAAGAATTGCTTTATCTTTTATATTTTACTTTGATGTTTGCTTCTATACATCTTTTACTCCTCTATATGATATTTACTCACTTGAATATTTTACTGCACTTTTGTTCCTTTATTGGATGCTTAATACTTTATCCTTTTTATCCTGTTCTCTCTTACTTAATATTTATGATTTCATAACTGTTATCTACCTATACAATACTTGCTTTTTTTTACTCCTTTGATCCTTTACTTGATAATTTTAATGTTGTTTATTCCTCTACTTAATATTTATTTCATTTAGTTCTTTACTTCTTCTTTCTTTTATTTATATTCTAACATCCTTAAGTCTTTTGTTCGAATTTCAAGAATAAGGAGCTCTGCTGAATTCTTTCTTTTATATCCTTCCTTGTTTTATTCCTTTACTTGAAATGTTATCCCTTTTTTAATCCTCGTAATATTTATTCTTTTCTATCGTTTCTTCTGTTTGATATGTACTCTTATATATACTTTATATTTTAATTGGGCTGTAATTTGAAAAAAATTGTAGATCTATAAATTCCCACTTTTGT